AGAATCAGTCACAAGAACGTCGAATCTGAATCACTTGAAAAAAAACACGGGGGGTGCTTAACTTTTTTTCCAGGTGTATACATAAATTGAACTGAAATTATTATCTTTTAAGATCGGTATAGGTGCCGAGTGATAATGTGTTTTATAGATACATAACATTTGCCGTGAGTGAAAATGTCACTACCAAAACTATAAATCAGGTCGTTGTACAGTAAATATTTTATCAGCATACTTTAGCTTTTTGAGATTATTGCTCCAATGGGTCTTAATTTAAAGCTACACGATTTGGTGCTGTTAAACAGCGGCTGTATATAAGCTGTAGATGTCATATGACTTGCTAATTTGCATATTCAAAATCGTTTTAGTATAACTCAACCGTTTATGCAGTTGGATATAATTTTTATACTTCTTGTTTATTTGTAGACTTCTGAGTTGTTGTTGTAGACAAATAAAATGGATAATGTGGTTATTTCTATTGGTAGTACATATGGTTATCAACTGAACTTAGCTCGCATGATGTCCATTAGCTATGCTCTTAAGTGCGCTGTACCGACTGGTTGACAGACTTAACTGGTAATTGTAATATCAGAAGTTGAGCAGTAAAATATCAGAATTGGATATTATTATTCATTTTGTTCAGAATTTGACTCTTCAAGATGCGATTGGCCAAGGTGGTTTCCAGCTGTCTCGCCTCAATTAGTGAAGTGTACTGCCTAAAAATTCCGTTTTACATATGCATTACCATTATGCTTTTATTATAGTTGTCATAATTACGTAATTGCTATAACCTTGGAAAGCTGTCATACTTAATTCGTATTAACATGGCTAGTAGCTATAATGTTTAACTCATTATCAAACTGTTACGTATCTACTTGTTTGTTAATTTCTTGTAGAAATTCTTTCCGAGAAACTTCAGCGATACAAGTTCTTTCTTAATTAAAACTGGTTTATTCTTTCTCGATACAACTTTGCAATGCACAGAATTTCCACAGTCACTTTAACTTAACTACTTTTATAAACATACGCTATAATTCACAGCGATTCACACACTTACGGTGCCTGCTGTTCGCTTGACTCAATTATTTCTCTTCAATCTATCTCCGGCTTATATACTAAAAAAGAGGGCGTTCAGCTAACGCTGGGACATCCGTGAGGTTCCCCGATAAGTCACGATTCTTTTAGAAACACCAGCGCTCATGCTACCAGCGTCGCGTGACTTCTGATGTCGTAACAGTGCCCCTTCTTTAGTATTGTTCATCCCGAACAAAAGCCACTTACATTAAACCAAT